TTAGGAGAGGTCCAGCTTGCGAGGTTTTGCGGACCCTGGTGCTCGTGGTGAATCCGCTCGTGGGGGAGTCGGTGCAGTGCTCCAGGGGTTCCGTCGGGTCACTCGCTGCTTTCTAGAGAGACAATGACACACAAGAGGGTTAGCCTTACGTCTTCTCCAGGGGGCCTCCTTGTTCCTTCTGAACCTGCAGCTTAAATGCAGCGGAGCTGACGAGCTGCAGGTGTGGCCACTCAGCTCGTGATGAGTGGTAAGCAGGTGTTCCTTGTGGGTTCCAGGGCAACGCTGATGTGGGCTTGGGACGCTCATCACACTCCCCCCCCCTAAGCGTTGTCCTGGCCTGGTGGAATAATAGGATGTTAGTAGGGGTGACGTACGGGGTTGGTGGGGAGTGACCCCTGACAGACCAACAAAAGCCGACCAGATCCGAGAAAGGCCGTCCGCATTAGAGTTTGCTGCTCCAGAACGGTGCCGGACTTCAAAGTGGAAGTCCTGGAGTGCCAGGAACCACCGTGTCACCCTGGCGTTCGTGTCCTTGGCGCGGGCCATCCACTGGAGGGGCGCATGGTCTGTAAAGAGAGTGAATCGCCTGCCTAGGAGGTAATACCGCAATTCCAGAACTGCCCACTTGATGGCCAGAGCTTCCTTCTCCACCGCGGCGTAGTTTTTTTCGGCCGGGGTCAGCTTCCGGCTGAGGTACAAGACAGGATGCTCCTCATCTTCCTGAATCTGGGACAGGACAGCTCCCAGTCCTGTATCGGAAGCATCTGTTTGCAGCAGGAAAGGACAGCCAAAATCTGGCGCTCTTAGGACCGGCTCTGCCGTCAATGCCATCTTTATTCTTCTCAATGCCTCCTCAGCTTCGGGCGTCCAGTTGATTTTCTCTGGCTGACCCTTCCTGGTTAGGTCTGTCAGGGGGGAGGCTAAAGAGGAGAAGTTAGGTATAAAACATCGATAATAACCCGCCAACCCCAAGAAGGCTCGTACCTGGGACTTTGTACTGGGTCTTGGGGCGGCGCGGACTGCCTCAACCTTCTTTTCCTGGGGTCTGATGACTCCTCTTCCCACCTGGAAACCCAGATAGTTCGCCTCAGACAGGCCCAGATGGCATTTTCGGGGGTTGGCGGTGAGTTCAGCCCTGCGCAGCTCCAGTAGCACCCTCCGCAACCGATTTAGGTGGTCTTCCCAAGTCTCGGAGTGGATAACTACATCATCCAGGTACGCTGCGGCATAGGACTGGTGAGGCCTCAACAAGATGTCCATCATCCGTTGGAAGGTGGCCGGAGCTCCGTGTAGGCCAAAGGGAAGGGTCCGGTATTGCCAGTGTCCACTGGGGGTAGTGAAAGCCGTCTTGGGTTTGGCTGTTTCGGAAAGGGGCACCTGCCAATACCCTTTGGTCAGATCTAGGGTGGAGATATACCGGGCCCTTCCCAGACGTTCAAGGAGCTCATCCACTCGAGGCATGGGGTATCCGTCAAACTCAGACACTTCATTTAGGCGCCGGAAGTCGTTACAGAAGCGGAGGGTGCCATCCGGTTTTGGTACCATGACAACCGGGCTGGACCAAGGGCTTTTGGATGGTTCAATCACCTCCAACTTCAGCATGTGTTGGACTTCCTCCTCAATAGCCTTCCGACGAGCCTCTGGGATTCGGTAGGGCCGTTGCCTGACGACCACTCCGGGTGGTGTGTGGATCTCATGTTGGAGGATCTGGGTCCGCCCGGGGTTGGAGGAGAACACATGCGAGAACTGAGAGACCAGGTGCTGCAGCTCTGACTTCTGGGCTGCCGACAGCTGGGCGTCCATGTCCACTACCGGCGAGTCGATGGTGGCGAGGGCGGCGAGCTGGTCCCTTGTCCCCACCCATTTCTTCAACAAATTAATGTGGTAGAGCTGCTCTGTTCTTCGCCGGCCTGGCTGTCGGACACGATACGTGACCGGCCCAACCTTCTCGATGACGGTGTACGGGCCCTGCCAACTGGCCAGGAACTTGCAGGCGGAGTTGGGGACAAGAACCATGACCCGGTCTCCTGGCTGAAACTCTCGTGGCTGGGCGGCTCGATTGTAATACCGTTGCTGCGCCTGTTGGGCCTTGACGAGATGTTCCCGGACTAGCGGCATGACCCGGTCGATCTTTTCCCTCATCTCCTTCACATGCTCTACCACCGAGCGATGGGGGGCCGGCTGATGTTCCCACGCCTCTTTGGCCACGTCCAGGAGGCCTCTGGGCTGGCGTCCGAATAAGAGCTCGAACGGGGTGAAGCCTGTCGACGCCTGAGGCACCTCCCGTATTCCGAAGAGCACGTAGGGGAGCATGAGGTCCCAGTCCCGCTTGTCTTCATCTGCAACCCGCCGTAACATCCGCTTCAGGGTCTGGTTGAAGCGTTCCACGAGACCGTCTGTCTGGGGGTGGTAGACAGAGGTCCTCAGTTGTTTCACTTTAAGGAGGGCGCACAGGTCAGCCATTAGCCGGGACATGAAAGGGCTTCCCTGGTCTGTCAGGATTTCGGCGGGGATGCCCACCCGGCTATAGAGAAGGAAGAGCTCCTTGGCGATGGCCTTGGCCGTGGCTTTCCTAAGAGGCACTGCTTCAGGATACCGGGTGGCGTAATCCACAATGACGAGGATGTGTTCATGCCCCCGGGCCGATTTAGGCAATGGCCCTACGAGATCCATTCCAATGCGCTCAAAGGGTACCTCAATGACCGGCAGTGGAATCAGTGGGCTGGGGGGAGGGGTCCGTGGAGATGTTCTCTGACAAGTGGGGCAGGCCTGGCAGAATTGTTTCACCTCGGCGTCCAATCCTGGCCAGTGGAATCGGTCGCGGACCCGCTGAATGGTGTTGTTGGTTCCAAGGTGGCCCGCCAAGGGATGGGAGTGTGCCAGCTCTAAGACCGTCTCTGTCTTTGTTCGGGGTACCACCAACAACTTCTTCTCTTCCCCCCTTCGCTGTGCAACACAATAGAGCCGGCCGTTTTGGACGACAAAATGCGGGAGAGGATGGGGCCCCGGTTGAGTTTCTTTTCCCTCAACCATGCGCACCTGAGCCCAGCAGTGCTTTAGGCGGTCGTCTTCCCGTTGTTCCCTGGCAAACGACCCGCCTCCTGTCACCTGTTGGAAAAGGTCATGGTAGAGGTTAGAATGAGGGGGTGGGGACTCACCATCTCTCCCGCTGTCGGAGGCCAGCAAGACGGGACGATGACGGGTTCTTTTTCCTGGCCGCCTTTGGAGGTGGGCCCGTCGAGGACTGGCAAATGGCACGTTCGCGGCCAGCAGGCGATCCAAGCCCGGCCAGTCTCTACCGATAAGGACGGGTACCGGCAGATCCTTCACTAGGCCCACGTCCATCGGCCATGAGTCAGGGCCAGCGGAGATGGTCACTCTCCTGGTTGGAACATGTCGCGTGTCCCCATGCACGCAGGTGACCGGGATGGTAGCCTTGGTTGGTCTGTGGGGCGAGAGGATATGAGACTGGATCAAGCTGACCGCGCTGCCGGTATCCAGAAGAGCTGCGAACGGGCGGCCATCGACTTCTACGTCCACCCTCGGCGCCCCTTTTGGCAAATCCTGATGTAGGATACAGCCCGCTAGCCAGGTTCTTGGAGCCGGTGTGGGGTCTGCGGTGGGCATTGATTCGTCTCTTTGAGAAGGAGGCCCCGGCCTGCCTTCAGACCGCGGGTTGCCCTCTGGCCTGCGTCGCTCCTGGATCACCCTCCGGGGAAACGGCAGAGCTCGTTCTCCAGCATCCTGGTGTTGGACAGCCTCCGCCAGTTCCACAGCTTCGACAAGCTCAGTAATCGTGCTAGGGTTCCGCATACCGACGGCTTGACGAGGGGATCTCGGGAGGGCACGGAGGAACCGATCGACGACAACACGCTCTGTCACAAGGGCGGCTTTGGGATCTCCTTCCAGCAGCCAATGCTGCGCGAGACGCGATAATTCTGCGGCCTGGGCCCGGGCAGGGAGGCGGGGCTTATACTCCCAGTCATGGAAATACTGTGCAGCGCAGACTGGTGAGAGGCCTAGCCGAGCTAGGATCTCCCTTTTTAGCTCCTTGTAGTCGTCTACCCGTTCAGTTGGCAGCATGAAGTATGCCCGCTGGGCTTCCCCCGTGAGGAGGGGTGCGACCAAGCGTGCCCAGTCACCAGGGTCCCAGCCCTCCTGGGTTGCGGTATTCTCGAACATTTGGAGAAAGGATTCCACATCGTCATCAGCTGTCAACTTCGGCAACAGCTGGGTCACCTTCATTCTGGGATCAGGTAGTGGGACATGTCGTGCAGCAGCCGTGCGCAGTTCATTTAACTCTTGTTCAGTTTGCCCTTGTCGCGTCGCCAGATGTTCAGTCATCTGTTGCTGGCGCATGCTGATCTCCGTTAGGCGTGCAATAACTTCATCCATGTCGCCGGGAAAGGAGTGGCTGCCTAGGGGGCCGAGCGAAAAAACGAAAGATTTAGTTTTGTAAAAAGAAAAAAAAAAAAAAAAAAAAAAAAGATTTTCCTCCGGATGTTCCTCCCACTCAGTACGCCTGCATTCTCCACCAGTGTGGCGGGGTGGAAGGAACAGACTACACCAGCTCAAGTGAAGTCCCCGGAGGGCAAGGTTTATTTACAACCGTTTAATTAGGAGAGGTCCAGCTTGCGAGGTTTTGCGGACCCTGGTGCTCGTGGTGAATCCGCTCGTGGGGGAGTCGGTGCAGTGCTCCAGGGGTTCCGTCGGGTCACTCGCTGCTTTCTAGAGAGACAATGACACACAAGAGGGTTAGCCTTACGTCTTCCCCAGGGGGCCTCCTTGTTCCTTCTGAACCTGCAGCTTAAATGCAGCGGAGCTGACGAGCTGCAGGTGTGGCCACTCAGCTCGTGATGAGTGGTGAGCAGGTGTTCCTTGTGGGTTCCAGGGCAACGCTGATGTGGGCTTGGGACGCTCATCACACTACAAAGTATCAATTATATGAAAAATGCACCTTACCAACGTCTCTCTCTCTCTCTCTCTCTCTCTCACACCAGAGGCCCAATCCAGCAGTATGATGTTTGACTGCGTCTACATGGAGCTCTCAGCCTCACTGGACCATGGTACCAACGAGCTGTTGGAGACCGCCGTTCGAACTGCGAGGGGTGACTGCGTGGGCCCCGGCTGGACCGACGGTGAGTCTGGGGCAGGCCGCAGGGAGAGCCTAACCAGCCGGGCCAAGCGCTTCCTGTCGGGGTTGGTACCGCGCTCGTACGGTCGAGACCGGGATCGGGATCGAGGCCGGTACAGGGAGATGAGCCGCCACCGCGGCAGCAAGATCCTCCGCCAGAAGTCCCGCTCCTGCCACGACCTCAGTGCACTGTGATACACAAACACGTGCATACACATAGGGCAAGGCCCACACATGAACACACACATACACACCAGATTGAAGGATATGGAGCGGACACGTTTAAACAGAGAGAGGGTAAATGGAAGATGGTAGGACCTGTAGATGATTAGACGTAGCAACAAGGAAGGGAATGGAGGAGACTCACACGAGTAGGAAAATTAGAGGAGTGGAAGGACAGAAGCCAGTGGCAGTAAAGGTGGATGGATGGCGGTGAAATCAGCCAGGATCGCAGCACCGAACCTTTGGTTCTCCCTATCAGAGAAACCAATTTTAAGAGAGAAAGAGGCCGGGTTGAGAGAGATAAACAGAGAAGGAGGTGAGGCTCAATTTGTTGCTTCCAGTTTGGGTGAATCAGCAAGCGCTCATCAATTGATGAGCACAGGAGAGTACATAAGAGAGTGTCACATCAAGATGCTGATTGAATGCTTACTGTGGTGAAATGGCAGCGTGGAGGAGTCACAAATAAACACACACCCAAGTAGCACGCACTGAATATGTAGAGACTGATAGGAATCTAATGTGTATCTATTGTGAATCCTGTTTTATAGCATGCAGAATAGACGATCTAAGACGAGACCCTGTAGGTTTACAGTTACATGAGACTGGGTTGACTGCACCTCAGTGGCCAATAGCTAATGCACAATCCAGCCAGTGTCTTTAGCAATGCCATCTTAAAGGCAAGACCCTTTATTTACGAAAACTAAAATGCCCCTTTGGGCATTCTTTTTTTTGGACCACAACCCATTCACATGCATCTACTGTCCCGTGCTGGTTTAGAAGTGTTTGATGATACCACCAATGGCACATGTTCATGTTCATCTGTTATTTTTTTACAAGGCTAAAACCCATCAGCGCCCAAGCCATATTTTCCGCTGAATGCACCGCGTGCGCTCAGCACAAGGAACCCTTTATGTGAAGCGAAAGCAAAAAGGTCAAAGTGGCTCAGAGGAATTGACCGGACTGAACTTTTCTTCAAAACTGAGACTGAGTCACAGAACACCTGCATGTCCTGGAGGAACAGGACGACAAACAAGAAAAAACCTAATCTACCTGTGGCTGTTTGATGTTTTTTTTTTCTTTATATTTGTCTTTTTACGCTCTGCCATTCACGTGTTGAGAAGGAATTCTGTGGGGCTGACCACAAAAGCGACCCAAGAGAGAATATTCTGGAAACGTTGGATACCTTGAGGCAGCGTCACTGATATATGCTCCTTCCTCGGTCACGGTCTACTAAGCACTCTCATCTTTCCACTGAGAATAAATTCTTGTTTTGACATCCTGAATGAGTGTTTCATCTTTTTATATATATATTTAAAAATATTAAACAATGTTATGAACTCAATGCCTCGTTGCAGCCGTTATCAGGTCGGCCTGATGGGTCATCACATGACTCTCAGGTCCTCTCAGGCGGGCTGTGACACGGCCTCTCGGGACAGATGTTCTATTTAGGACAGAGCGGTAAAACGATCCAATGTCAGCACGGTGCGGCTGTAACAGGATCTCAGGTTGAAAATAGATTGTATCATTGGAGAACATGAAGATATACTGCGCACATATTCCTCTGTCACCTGCTTAGCGATGATGCAGCTCACTCCTGGTCCTCTGCGGCAGTGATTCCCAACTCATTCTGTCTGGCAAACCCTCACAGCCCCTTAAAGACGAGCCGACAGAAATAAAAAGATCCAGTCCTTAAGTCCTTCCAATTGTATTCAGCCCAAGACAATGATTGGACGCGCTACCTCCGTCTGTCCATCTGCCTGTGCACTCATTGTTCGTCAGGCTAAAAGCTTTGAGTACTAACAATAGCTTTGTTTGCGCTTCACGTGCATTATGATATTTCTAGGGGAGTAGCTTTAGAGGGAGGCTTGAAAGGACAGGCTGTCGTCGTTGTCAACTAAGTGAAGATTTAGCAACTTTCTTTTATCTACTGCAACTGGCAATTCTATCAACACTGGGCTGCTCAGTTTAATCCACTATTGCTAGTTTTATCCAGATTACTAACCTTACATTTAAATACATGTCTGATGTCACTATCTATTTCCTCATGACGTAACACAAAGGAGACTGAACTGATGAAAGCGCTTGCATTCAGGATATTATGAACTGAGTGTTGTCAAGATTACCGGGAATGTCGACAGTGTGCAAACAGATATTTCCTTCAGAGGCTGAAACCAAACCAAACTTAAAGAGTCAATATTGGGTGACGGATAGTTTTTTCTTCTGCAATGACAAAAAATGAAGTGGATTAATACAGTTAATTGAATAGAGCTGTGTACTTAAAGTCAAAGTGGTGTATAACATGTGAGTAATGAATACAACAGATGATGATCTGTTAGGAATTTGGGTTCAATTCATTGCCACTAAACGGGTAGCAGTTGATAGGCCTTTTCTTCTTTAAACAATGAACCAAATAAGCATTTCGAAAAAAGACGTGGGCCCCAATGAAGCGATCTCTGTCAGCCTGCCCTCCGTCTGCTCCACCGTAGTTTTAGCAGGTGTGAATAAGTGCCTTGGGAGAAGAAGCAAGGACACAGTTCCCTGCAGGCAATCACATAGGATCACATATGTGAACACACCCTTCTGATATCAGAAGGCTGTGGCTTTCAGCTCGTGCTGCTGGTACAGTAACTATCTGGAGTGGACAAATGGGAGGTTTCTTGAGAGGAAGGCAAAGCGGCAAAGAGTCAGAGGGGTTGAGGAGAGAGAGAGAGGGAGAAAGAGATGGGCTGGGGAAATGCTTTGAGGCGCAATGGTTGCTGGGAGACTGTTGTCAAGGATACGAGGAGTCCTAGAGTCCTTTGGCATCTCAAATGTCCTACATTTATGTTGGTTTTCCAAAAAAAGGAGCTTCTTGTTTCCCCCCCACTCCCCTTCTAGTAGTTAAATGAGAGATAAGGATGACGATAAACAGTTCAGACAAGCTTGATTTTACGCAATATTGCAGCACAGAAAACGACCCACGGAGGATTTTATCACCCATAAACAGGTGAGATAGCTGGCAGATGATAGCATACATCTGCCTGCCGGAATCAGAGATGGGAATGGGGACAATATGATACCATTTATTTTTGTGACACCCTATTACTACCTCAAATCGTGACAAGAAATCCTCCCTCTGCCTCTGTCTCTCTGTGGCTGACTCACTCAGTCTCAGTCCCTGCACTTATAGGGGGGTTTTGGGCTAAAGAATACTTGTTGAGAGCGGCGAAGACAGAGGGAGCTCAAGTGACAGTGAAAGCCTGTCGAACTTAAGAAGAATTGCTATTTTCAGCGCGCACTGTGTATTACTAACGAGATGCAAATTTCCCTGAGGTGTGGGTGTAGGCACATTGTGAGCTTATATTGGAATTGGTCTGAGTAGTGTATCTGGGGGAGAAAGTGGGCAGTGGAGGCCAGACGTTAGGCGGCATTAACGGGCTAAATTCCCAGTGGGATTTTACGTGATTGGTTTCTAGGGGCAATAGTCTGAAACGCTTCTTCGGCTTGTCTCCCGAGAGCGCAAACTATCCATGCAGGGAGCTTTAATAACCAAACAACAAAAGGGAGCGGCAGTGAGGGAAGGGTAAGGCCAAGTGGTTGTAATAGCAGGTGGGAATAAGGGGACAAATCCACCTTATTATGGACTGCTGAATGCCTCATGCGATGCTCCCCTTGTCTCCGGTAATCTAGATTAATAGCAGGTCAAAAAGAGAGAGCCAACCATGTCTTTGCAAAATATGGCAAAGTATAACTAGATGCTGCACAAGATTAGTATTGATCTCCACAGTAGATGTGGTGGCGAAAGCCTTGGAATCACTGTGATGGATCAAGAAGAACAGGGAGCGAAAAGACATGACCGCACCTAGCAAACACTATTCAGTTGAAACGGAGAAAAATGGTTTTCTTGCAGAGGAATTTGATACCAATCTCACGTTCGCGTATTTAATAGGAAGATGGGGCGCAGAGATGTTATCTTAAATCAGCAAGAAGACTCAATGTGAGGGAAAACAGCAAGTCTAGCTCTTATTTATTAATTAATAATTAATAACGAAAAGTTGACACGCCTACTATAAACCACTGAGTGTCTCTTACCTCAGATTAGAAGTGATCACTGGATGGACCGTGACCCAGGCATACATCCCATAGTGCATCACTCAAGAATAATTCAAGGCATTGTGTATTTATCGTATAATCTTCTAATAAGACATGAGTTCATGAGGCTAAAGCTCAAAGCGTCCTCAAATTAAACACATCTAGCAGATGCCAGCTGGACAGATGAGGGGGAACACTGACTGAGCTGTTTATGTATACATCAACAATTTACATTGTGATGAAGTGTAGGAGAAAAGAAATGTTGATTAACGCTCTGCCAGAAACCTGGTTGTACTTTAGGAGCCTTCATGTGTATAAGAGCTGCTTTTCACCCATAATAATTAAAGCTCTAATTACATCAACTCAGATTTTCTGGATGTTTTGTTAATGGTGATTGACAGGAGGCATTATTAAAGCATTAATAAGGACATTATTTGAATCCATCGCCAACACTTTGGCTTAATATTCTTCAAAGGTGAGCAGGAAACAAGAATGTTTAGATTCCCCCAGTTGAGCCGTAGATTCATCCACTTAATTCATCCAATGTTCTTAAACCTTGATATGTATTGCACTATAAATACATGTTTCTAATAGTTTCCACTTCAACCACATATGAGGAGAAGGAACTATGAAAGTATCCAACTCATTTTAACAACTCAACCTGGAGCCTTGAAAGCACTGTAATGATAAATCAGCACATTATGGACCTATTTTAAAGGCAGTACTCATTGTCGGATTGTACGATAGTACTGTGCTGGATGGAAGAACAATAGAATGGATTCCATGCACTAAAAACGAAAATCCATTCCTACAAGCATACTGCATCAGTTTGGTTATTGTCAGTACTATTCAGCGGCTTTGCTTTTGGGTCAGTGTTTTCTGAAGTGGCTTTGGGTTCACATATTTGAGCTGGTGTTGCTCTACTTGTTTTAAAGTAGGACAAACTGGTGACTGACTGGATAAATATTACACTAGCACCCCCTATTGGCCATGCTGTTCCTTCCCCCGAATAGAACAGAAGATGCAACTCCATCCTTGTGCCAAAGAACATATTTTCAGTTTAGCATATTTTATCAAATTAAATCGGAAACTGTGATTATGAATAATTTAATGTAGTGAGAAAATATATCTTCTTGCGGCTTTCATTCACTTGGATTGTATTTAATATTTAGCAACTCCTCCTATTATTAAAAGGATATTCTTATAATAACGAGGATCCAGGCTCTTTTGGGAGGAGGTAAAAATTTCACAAAGTATATATATATATATATATATATATATATTTTCAAATCAAATGACATTTTTTATTTTTATCCAATTACATAGCAAAAGAATACATAAATATCAAAAAAAGATTATGCAAGAATGTCACTAAAGAGTTTCCGTTTTTTGGACTCGCCGGCTTGTATTTCCTGCCAGTGGCCTCTTCTGTGGGTGAAGTGGGAGAGGGCAAATTTGGCCCACACATGGCGAGCAAACTGATGTGACCTCAGCTGGCTTTCACTCAGCACTGGAAGGAAAGAAAATGTGAACAACGCAAGAACCGGATTATTGATCCATACTGTACACGTGTGTGGGCCGGCTCATATTACCTAGTTCCTGTGCGATGCCTTGTCTGTGACTGACTGAAGCGCTGTTCCATATGGCTTCCAACACCCGACTTCCCAACCTGGAGCAGGCCATGGCAGCATACTGGCCCTGGGAGAAATAATAATGTTCCACTTCAAACTGTCCACAGAAAGGTTTATTTCTTTTTAAGATGTGCGACCCAAAAATTTGAAATAATGCAGTTTTTGAAACACCTGAAGACCACCAGCCCAAACTGATGATACAAAGCCAGATGCACGCATGCTTAGTTTGAACCAAAATATTTTGGCCCTACATCTGAATGCCCTTTTCATTGATAAATGTAAAAGGTGCTCTTCTGCATTCTTTGCTCATAAGTAGGGTTGGGTACCGAAAACCGGTGCTATAATGGCACATATTGATATGAATATGAATTTATTCAAGTCAGTGCACATGCAGGCATGAAAACGGGTCAAGGGTGAAAAAGGTGAGAAGGATATTACCCCTCAAGGGCAGGGGTTTTCAACTGGTTTTGTCCCAGGGATCATTTTTTGCGTACCGACGAGGGGGGGGGGGGGGGGATTGACAACAACTAATAGGGGACAAGTCATTAAATACTCGTCATGCATTATATTGCATTGCATATAATGTGTGCTGGTCAACTAGTCTAAAATTAATTTTAGACACATTTTTTGCGTAGTTTAGAGTGACAAATCGTACCAGCGTACTTTGAAGTCAAAATGCGTATCAGGTTGGCAGGTTTGCTTATTGAAGGTAAAGTGGACCACTTTACCTTCTGCCTCGTCAGTCCCCTCACCTCAAAATCTACCTCCTCAAAAACGGTCGCGTTAGCTAATAACTTTCCACCGGAGCTTTAGCTAGCTGGCCGTCGCGTTCTCTCCTGCTGTGTTAAATGACTCAACTCATCAAGCTGTAGCTAACGTTAGCTAAGTCTATGTCAACAAAGCTCCTGGGTAACTTAACTACCAGAAAATATTAAAATGATTGAAACCATCACTCACCCTGTTCGCAATTCACTGAATCTCGCGCTCCCTTCTGGCACGCGCACCTGTTCGCAGTTCACTGAATATGAATACCCCCCACTCCAAAAAAAACCTCAACGAATCTACACGATTCACGTAGGTCACCTATTTTGGTTTCAAAACGGCGAATTTCGCCGAAAGGTGAGGGATTTTCATGCCTGCACATGGAAGTTCCCCCCGATGTACAGACTTGTGTGCGCACACACGGGTGAACTTGCCCCCACCAGCGGCCGCGCATCCACAAAGACTACCCCTCCGTTAGGTTGATACATTTTTCAATTTGAAGAAAGACATTTGCCTTGGCAATAAAAATAAACTTTTAATCTAGTCAATTATCGTTTAGGTGCCGGTATGGCAAAAAAAACGGTGACGATCCCTCGTCATATTGCTTTGTTGAGCTTCCGTTTCTTTCCATTAGAACAGTTTACAGAGGCCCATTAGAATATCCTGAAAGGAAATATACAAACTGACATTGGATGCCCGTGGCCCGGGAGGGGGGTCTCTACAGCGGGGGATTAAAAACCACATCATCGATGGCCATTTGCAGACCATCAGAGATATTGATGAGAGGCCTGCGGATAGTCAAAAAGACACTGAAAGACAAAACCAGCAGCTTCCGTCCTCGGGCTTCTAAATCCATCCTCAAAAAGCGGGTCAAGGTCCACCATGGCATAAATATTTGCTTTTTTCTACTCCTTGTGCAGTAAAATTGGACAACAAACGGCATTTTGTTGCGCAACCCCATTGGACTGCTCAATGATAATAATATAATGTAACCGTTCTGGCGTTCAAAGTCACTAATATGAAGTCATGTCCATTTGTTGAAATGGGTTTAATTAATTTAATGTTGAATAAATCAAACCTTAAAAGCAGCAGTGAGACCTAAGACATATTAATGGTTTTCTTGATTATTTTGTTGCTGTACTACACTAAACCTCAGTAGCAGCATATAAAGAAGCAATGGGCACTGCCAAAAGCTATGAGTAAAACGTATGCTTTCTAAATCAATAACATCCTTATAATGCAGCAGTACCTCCAGTCTCTTGAGGATCTTCCCCCTCCCCTTGTCACTCGACGTGATGGTGAGTGCCTGGAGGACGTGGCTGCCTGACGGGTCAGAAGCCAGGGTCAGGAGGTCAGCAGGGGTCAGAGTGCGCAGGCTGCTGAGGAGGAGCGAACGCTCCTTGAACTTGGCGAGCGCCTGGACCAGCCTGGAGCCATGGTAACAGATTGAGGACAGCGGTACCTGAAAATGGTTATGGACACAAGTCTGCATTATGTGCATCTATTCCACGACATCAAATTGCTGCTGGATACACTGCAGCTTGCTGAAATGTTGAGACTTCAATATAAATGATTAGATTTGACTCCTCTCTGTTGTTACCTCCGTCGGTGTGTCCCCCTCCGCCGTGTCAGAGTGGTAGTACACCTCGTAGGTGAGCAGCGACATAAAGAGAGGGAGGCAGCTGACGTGACGCATGCCGGGCTCAGCGCAGTGGAACGCCTGGGAGGAAACAACAAGAATATCATTACCCACAAATCAGAAGGGCAGATAAATATAACAAGGGTATTCTCACATTGATTTAGGACCCGTGAGGGCCGTAACGCCTCAATTACAGATACTTACACGGAGGAGGCACTGCATCAGGTCTGTCTGTTTCTCTCCACTTTCTGCACAGCTCTCGGCCAGTTGGACAATCACACCCATGTGACCTGCGGCCAAGATGGATTCAATACCTTGAATCAGCTCATCAAACAACGTCAGGAACTGCAGCAAAAGAGGGAGGAAGAGACAGAGAGCCTTTGTAAAATCCTAACTTAAATCTGGCAGCGTGTGAAACGCCGACATTAAAACCAACCATTTTGTGTTTGGCCGAGGCCGCCGTTAGCCTCTGTATGGGGAAGTTGGCGATGGAATGGAGCGCCAAGTCCACCATCTGACCCTTGAGGTGGTTCTTGTAGAGGTGCCGGAGAAGCGACTTGCCGGATAGCTGTATGATCGTCTCAACCAGGCGACTGGAGGCCGGGTCTTTGAGAAAGACCAGAAGGGGACTGAAAGGAGCGAAAAGACCAAAAGCAGCAGTTACATAACGCGTCATGGCCGGCCGTCACAGGACGGAAGGGACACAGTGCAAGTCTCTGACCTCACTCCCGGGGCGGCGCTGCGGCTCGTCAGGTACTCCGTGGTGCGCCTGAGGAGCTGTTTGCAGAGTTTAGGCCGATTTCTGTGACACACAGTCAACATGGTCTGGAACGCTGCACTGGCCACGGAGTCCACCACACTTACTGTGCAGGAAAGAGACAGTTGGTTAGTTATTGTTGGCTTTAGTTATTTTAATATATTGTTATTATATACATTTTGTATCCTTCCCTCTATAAAGAAACACATTTGTAATGTCACTTTTTGAATGTTTTAAATTTATGGCTATAGTTAAGAGGGAGAATGTGAACATAACACTATTTCAGTGTAATGCTCCACTTATTTATGTACTGTGTGGATTCTAGTGTGCGATTCAAACACAGCAAGAGTTATGGAGGATCTGCTGCAACACTCCCAGGGAATTTTGCTGCGACCACAAGAATGGATGCAGATAATATCCTTTGCTAAGCAATACTGCAATTTTCATTCTTATGAATCAGGATTCATATGCTTGGGTTTCCAGAAAGGCGACTCACAATTAACGTTGTCCATCAAAGCCTCAGTCAGGCTTTTCAGCCCGTACCAAAATGACGTGGGGATCTCAAAGTCTATAAGCTGAGGAACAAGGTTGTGTTCCTTCGCACCTGTAAAAAAACAAAAACACAAGACCACATGATTTCGAGCGACAAGCAACAAGCCTCTGAGTGGAAAGACCCAAGCCTCATTTCTGAATCTCCACAACTCCATACATCTCCTCCGGGATTATATCTCAAATGGCAAACAATAATTATGATCAACATCTTTGCCCATTGAGTCTAAAAAAACGCAAAGAATTTGTGCGCGTGTACCTGGACGAGACTCAATGCGGGGGGGTCCGAGGCAGCCAGCCAGCACATGTAAAAGTGTGCGCACCACGTGTGAGCCATGGACATGTTTGATGAACTCCGCCATGTTGTCTCTCACCACCTGACTTAAAGACAACACCTGGGCCTCCAACGCATCACAACTGTCCTTTTCGTCTCCCGTTGCCCCAGGCGACTCCTTTTGTGATGATTCTAAAAATGAGACGAACAAAGCGAAGCTGTTATTTACCCATTCATTCCTAGGCGTTCTGCACGACGATGAGCGGTCTACCACGCTTGCAAAACTTACCGCTCCACCTGGACATCTGTCTGACGGCACTCTCCACCACGTGTCCGCCGCATTTATCGCACGAAACGGCCTTCAACTCGGACCCCGCTTGATCACCGAGCTCAGCCAGCACCCCCGCCACCTGCTCAGGGCTGCACAGCGGGAGCAGCCGCTGCAGGGTGATACTCCCCGTCGGGTCCATCGCCACGACCACCGCTTTGCCTTTAACCTCTGTTAGAACATTCGCCACAAACATCTCTACGGAGGAAACAGAAAGAGAGACAGAATAAGAGTCATATGGAGAAATGTAGGCAGCTTAAAACTGATTGGTGAATGTTTGGGAAAAAGTATGCAATAAGTAGAATGATTAAACATTGAATGTACTTAAGGAAACAGAACCTTACAGAGGAAAAATAAGAGACGGTATTGTAATAATGTGGTTACTATAAAGCCACTTTACTTCAACACAGATGAATGCCCCCTGCCTGTATTAGTAACAGAACACCGCTCCTCCGCTAATTAAATTGAGGGATTGTGGGATTTCAGAGTTCTAAGTTATAAACTTCAACAGGTTGGCAGGAGATTTTCTTCTTCACTCGATGATCAGAGTGTCTTGGGCCTGTATGATGCACAGTCACAACAACATAGTCAGCTTCCAGGGGTGTAGAAAAATCCCTCTCACCTCTCTCCTCGTTTTCGTCAAAGCCTTCGCCGAGTCTCTCCCCAACTCGGCGGAAATAGCCCACACTCAGGGCGTCCAGGCGCTTCCTGCTGCCGTCTCCCTGAGACTGTCCCCCTTCTTCTCCTCCCCTCTTCTTCCTTTCACCTTGTCCATCGTCTCCGGGGTGTCCCCTCTTCTTTCCTTCGCCTTTCGCCCGCTTCCTTTCCCCCGTTTTGGCAAACATGGCATGGACTTAGTAGCATGCAGGTTACAAGTGGACTCGATCTTGTCAGAGGATGCTCAATTTGATCTTCAGGCAGAAGCAGGGAACAAAACAAAGTCATTGTTAGAAGTTGCTGGTCAAGTCCACACTCATCACGTCGTCATATGTGGTTCACAATGTACACCACTATTACAAATACAAGTATTTAATGCAACTAGTGCAGTACCCGTTCAAACACGCCTGTTCAGAACAAGCCGAACTTCCCTCAACACTGCTCACATGCTTCCTGACCCGTTTTAAAATGACGGAATGTTCACGGTTGTTCGTGTTCTATATTTCACTTTCTACTGGTGTAACGGAAGATTACAGACTTGGATATGGGTAACACGGTAGCGAAGGAGTCTTGCGAAAGCAATGAACTCACTCTATATTTTTCGAATGGACATCTTTAAACAAATTATTTAAGTTGGTTAAACATATTAATTCATTTGAATTCAATATAAAAAATGTCAAACGATGGAAACTAAATTTGTGAAACACAACACAATGTTTTTCATTTTCATTCACGTGTGGGATGTGTGGACCTACCAGAGACTGCGAGCAAGGGCGCGTATTGATGACGTAAGATCGCGACTCTTTCTCTTCTTCGACTTGTTTAAAGGGGGTTGATGACTACGGTCCGAGATGTATTAACGCCCCCTAAAATACTGGAGTCTAAGCCAAAATGCCCTATTCAATTCGAAACTAAAGCCTAGTTTATGCTTCTGCGTTTTCAGAGCGACGCAGACGCAAGCCCCCCTTGCGTGTCCCTTGCGTCCTTGCGTGTGTCGAGCCATTTTTCTACGCAAGCAACGCAAGCCTCCCGCAGCGCACAAGGCTGCGATTGGTAACTACGTCCTTTACGGAGTCTCACATTTCCGCTTTCATAGCCCGATACCGCCATTATTAAAACGAAGAATGTTTACGAGAGAACGGATCAGATTTAAGAACTTCTGTCGGAAGAAATGCGCAAATATGACCGCTTATACAAGCCGTCGATGGCGGGTTGTAGAAGCGGGTTGGATTCACGGAGGGAGATCTCCGCAAACGCCGGTTTGCCGGTCGAGAGGTGCACAAAGTTGTGGAGGAAAATACGGGACAAATGTGTCGATGCACGGGGCAATAAAGTCTATGATAAATAAATAAACAAATAAATGAATAGACGTGACTCTCTAGGTCGTCTTCAACAAAACACGTCACTCCGCCTGTTCGGGCGGTGAATTGCTCTGCAACACACGCAGAACCATGAATTGAAACGAGTGCGTCAACGCAACGACGCAGACGCAGAAGCATGCGCCAGCCTTAAGAGAAAACCAAACGTAAAATATAAATTAAATTAAGCTTCTGCAACACAGCAATCCACTCAACACACCGAACCGCCTTCAGCTTCACACTTTCTACATGGGAACGCTCTTGTGTTATCTTCAGTTATATAATAAAAAATTATCTTATGTGTAAAAGCCTCCTGTCTTATGCCACACACGTTACCCTCTCTGATGTTGGCTTAACATGAATCTTCTGTAGTTAATTTGTTAAAGGGTGTGCATATGTTAACACT